GCATAGTACATAAAAACTTATCATCTTAGCAGATAGCTGGGATCCATATCAGATCAGTTTGCAACAAGAACTTTCGCGGAAACGCAGGCTGAACAGAAAGACTCGGCGTTCCGGAGCTAAGCATCGGGCGAAGAAACTCCACCGACAGATATTGAAACAATTAAAGTATCAACTAATTTATTCGGAACAACCGAAAACATCGAGTCACCCGGAAAGGCCGTGTTATTCGCCTATTTCACAAGCATCTACTATTCTAATAAATTCCGAACTTGATATAGAAGAAACCTCATCTATAATAGTTATAGATTCCGACACAGAAACTATTATTTGTGAAGAAATAGATACTAATACCGCGATTAAAGTAATAGACCATGAACAAATTCCAAATGAATTGGTAAATCGTTATGTGAATGAAATCAACAATTATATGCAAGGTTATAATTGAAGTAGTAATAAAGGATGCAGAAGGGTAATCAATAAAGAAGATAAATCCAGATTTCTATAAAATTCATTTATTTAATCACGATATCCTTTGAATCAATCCGCACGCCTGCAGGGACGTTCAGTCGTCTACCGGGTTGACTTGCAGGATTGGCGGCCCCACAATACGTAAACCTGGACGACAAAAGAAACACATTCCATTAATTAAAATATTCTTCATTTTAAATAAATAATAAATGAAATAAAATTAGCATACCTAGTCCTTCCTCGAGCCGCTCCGAGGCGCCGGGTCCGTCGTCCAGTCCTTCGCGTTTCGTGACGTCTGTGACGTTTCCTCTTCAAGGAATCACGTTCTACGTTCCAGGACGTCACATATTATTTTTGGTGACAGCGGTGGGATACCGAAAAGGATATCTCGAAATTTCTTATAATCTACGTATAAATAAAATTAGCGCGAAATCATGTCGAAATCAGTGATAAAATTGGAACCCAAAGATCCTTTAGAGGAGGAAGAATTAGTAATATTGTCCGAAAGTTTAATCGAAAAAGAAAAGAAAATGCGAGCACGTGAAGACAGATTAAGACAGGAACGAGAAGACATGGAAGACAGAATACGTGGCCAAGAAATTAGGATTGAGCAATTACTTGAGGACAAGGGTCGTATGATAGAAGAAAAGAAGGAAACAGCAAAGGAACAAGGAAATTTAATGGACATTTTCGAATCGCTTTGTCCAATGATTCGAGCACATTGCAATGCAATGAGCTGGCTAGTTTGGAAGGTGAAGCACCCTGTACTGGTCCGGACAGAATCCAACCGAACGCAGTTTCTTGTGCAATCGGCAGGTCGTCGTTAATTCGACGTAATCCGCCTCTCAATATACGCGCATACACGTCTGCTCCTAGAAGTATTTCTATTGAGGTGTCAGCACATATTTGCGGATCAGCTAATTCAAGTCCCTTATATTGAGACAGAATCTTAGCTTGAATCCGCGGTGGAGTGTACGAGCTGATTTTCTTGACGATCATGGCACTCGCAGTTAAAAACGGCGTTTGGCCTCGTCTATCGCCAATACCAACTTCGGCACTATTTTTGATGAATGCGGTCCGTCCGCCCCCCAGTCCGGAAACGGTAGCTGGAGTTCGCCTTTTTTTCAGGCAAAGTTAATTCGCTAAATCTGCTGAAATGAACGACATTTCGGAACCCTGGTTTAGGAGCGCGCGAGCATAGCGCGATTTGCCGTTCGGTCCGTAAACACGGATCAAGGCTGTTGCTAGTAGCACCGAGTTAATCCCCTTTGGTTGATCAGCTGTCTTGTCGCAGTGCATTGACACTGGCTGTTTCGAAGACGCTGCTTGGAGTTCACGCCTCGAATTAGGAGCATTCCGATGCTCCTTTTTACCTCCGCGATCATCGCGTCGAGGTGTATCCTGCTTGCCTTTAAGTGGACGCGTCTTACGTTCGCAGTGCAGTAATGTGTGATGGGATGCACCACATTTGTCACAGACTATCGTACTTCTGCAAGACGGAAGTGTACGTCCTTCAGACAAGCATCTGGTGCACATATTGTTTGCTCTAATCCAGAAATAACGCCCTTGTGCATCACGTTGTCGAAATTCATTGCAGTCCGTTATTCGGTGCTGCTGTTGACAAAACGAGCAATAAGATGTCGATTCCCGTGCCCGTGTTTCCACGTTCGTTGCATGGGATCTGACTTTCTTCTTCTCGGATTTCGAGGAATTCGGTTTGTTGTGCATATCCTTTGCCGCAAAGATAGCACTCACCTTATTTTCAAGAAAGCACATCATCTCGTTAAATGCGGGGAACTTTCGTGCATCATCGAAAGTCTGTTCCCATTCCGCCAGTAGCTCTTCATCGAACTGACTGGAAATGTAAAATACCAGGAATGGACCCACTTGATCAACCGGGACGCCTAGTTTAGGAAGCGCGTCTAAGGCTTGTTGTAAGCCGATGGTTATCTGCGTGATGCTTTCTATGTTGTCGTGCTTAACGGGCTTGAGGTGGAATACCTTCTTAAACCACGAGGTCTGAATCAGCCTCGGGTTATTATAACGCTTTTCGAGCGTTGCCCAAGCGATCGAGAAATTCTCGTTCGTTAGCTCCAACGTGGAGACGGTACGCAATGCGTCGCCTTCCAAAGCAGCTTTTAAGTACTGCAATCGTTGAGCGTCCGACAACGTAGGATTATTGGTGACGGCTGAACTGAAGAGATCGCTGAAAGCCGGCTAATCTGGATGATTTCCGCGGAAACGCGGGAGGTCCAGTTTCGGTAAACGAACTGACGCTCTATACGTGGTATGGCCTTGTCCGGCGTATTCGCCTGACGCTGCACGCGCTTCTTGCGCTTCTTGCCGTTCGAGAGTCCGAATCTGCTCGTAAATGTACCCAGCAGTTTCGTGAAAGACTCTCTCGTAATCATCCATATGCTTAGCTTTAAAATAGCTAAGTTTCTCTCGTTGCTCCGGGGTCGCCGATGCAATTAGGCATGCATGACGACTTTGAACACCGTCCCATTCTTTCTCGAGTATATCGAGTTGGGCTCGGACATAGTCCACAGTGTATTCCGACTTCGATTTCTTCTTCATATTGGTTTTAATGTTACCAATACGATTACTCCTTTCTAGATGGGCTAGTATGAATACATCTAGACGCATTCTTCCTAGAATGTCCTTTTTTGGAGTGGCCATTGTTGCTAGACAATCGTAAATTTCGAATTATCTGTACTGTATTCGGGCGCAGTGAATTCACTGTTTCTTCTGGCGCGTAGACGCAACCGCTTCGCTCTTTCAATCCGGCTCGAAGGACCTTTTGTTTGGAGATTTAGCCTAAACACAATTTAACTGGTACCGGAAAAGAGGGAAGCAGATTAAATGAAATAAAAGTGTTAATCCTTTTATATACAATCGTTTATTGAACCGTCGAAACTATCGACGATTCCTTGAAAGATGTTACAAATTTGGATTTTGTATTTATCTTTTCTTCGGCGAAGGCTGAGGCCGACCGATTATCGTCTGTCCCTGTAAACAAACAGAATACCGAACGATTCGATCAATTTAAAGTAACGACTGAATAGCAGCCGCGGACTGTGAAGAATTATGTGAAAGAGAATACTCTTTCCTTCGTTGCCCTTATTTTTCGTACTAGATTTCGATATGCCGAAACAGTGCTCGCGTTACGCCACTTGCAATTGCAAGCACAGCCACTGTGGCTGTACGCGGAAGTTCGGGTCGTAAGTCCGGACTTCTACTGACATTCACAAGCTCAGTACGCTTGCAAGCTACACTCTTTCTTGATGCACCTTCACCAGGGAGATTGGAAACGCGTATTATTCGCGGAACTCTGCAGTATCGGGTGAAGATCCAATACCCATTGCAGGCCCTTGACGAATGCGCCTATCCCACAACCGGCGGTCGACCAACAATTGGCCACTGACCCGGAGCGTAATCCGTTAGCAAGATACGACCTCCTGTTCGTATCTCGTTCCCTGCAAATGAAATCAGTGCGGGGCAACTTAAGGAGGAATCGAAAGAACTGATCTTTCGATTCTTTTATGCAGAAGTCGAAAAGTATTGAGAGGGACTGGCATACAGTCTATTCCTCGTCCTTTCCTGTGATAATTTCGGATTATGAATTCTTCCTTGTATGAATAGTGAAAGCAGTATCGAAATATTCCGATCTGTTCACTGTGACGGCTATGTGCTGACAGACCGTGGAGCTCCCCTTGTCCGTCGAGGAAAACTAATCTTCCGCTATGCGGCGTCCTCGACGAATTAGTCTATCCTTTTCTATTATGTATTCTTCTTAGAGCAAGAACACCTGTTCCGAGAATTCAAATGCGAATTCTCGTTACCGGTGATTCCGGCCGGCAAATGGTGTTATTATTTTTTCCCTCGGTACGGCTCGCGTTGACTCATCGATATAAGGAACGTCGCACCGTTTCTGATACTCGAGCAATTCGAAATCTAACGCTTTATTAAAATTTAATTCGATAAGGCCGAGAAAACTCCGTAAACCTTCCTTTTTTAATTTTAAAACACCGTTCTTTAAACATATATGTATGTATATATATATATATGGCGTAAAGGATTAAAAAGCTTAAGAATTTATCGGAGTCATTCTGCGCTTAGTGTTTAGTGTGGATTGTGACTGTGTGTTTCGTGTCTTGTGGACACTACGGACGGGATAATTTCGGTGCATGTGTACTTGTGTGGATATTTCATTTCGGTGCGTAGAAAAAAGGCATTCACCCTCCTGACTCGAAAATCCCATAGAGCGAGTTTCGATGTGCTCTTGCGGATTAAGCGAGTGATTAGGTTGAATACCAGGATACATCGCATTAGAATAATTTCCCATCTCCAGCACCCGAGGTAAGCCCACAAATTTCTTATAGGTACGGTCCTACTTTCGGTTATCGACATGCATCGATCGGCGGTGATCAGCTGAGCGTATGCCGAAAACGTCCGTCGATGCGAGACGGATTGTCAATTTTAGGGGCAAAAACATCGAATTTTTAAATGTTAATAACTAATTAACGAAGTCCTAAAAGCAATTTTTTCTCTCTTGATTTTCGACTTACTTTCGACCAAAGAATACGTCCTTAAAATATTGCCCACTAGTAGGTTTACACCCTGTATACGTATATACATATATATATTGAAACAAGGGATATTATAAGAGAAAAGAATAATTATTAATTAAAAAATAAGCACCCGCAACCAGCGGAAGTGTGATGAGGCACGTACGCTTCTAAGAACAACAGTCACACTTGCATTTTCGCTGACAGAGCATCAGCGAATTCTTCTCTCCCACTATACTCCCATTATGGGCCCAGCGCATTATTACTTGAAGTGAGTCTAGAACAGTGAGTCGAAGTAGAGGCAGTCTAGTAGAGTCGGTCGGAAGAGTCAGTCGAATCAACGAGTCGCAAAAATGTAGTCGAATAGTGAACTACGAGTGACGAATAGTCATTCCGAATCATTGTACATCGATTATCAAGAGTCTAATTGTTTTAAAGAATCTACATCTGTCTAAGTCAGTCTGAATCTATAACTCGACCAGTGAACATCGTGAATCTATTGTTAAACCTTTGAATGTGTGTAATAATCAAGAATATTATAAAAGGTAACTAGTCAGTCTGAATGAAACCAGCAACAAGTGAACTACGTCAAGTTTGTTGTTCATCTACGAAACTATTCTGTAAAAGTTAAAGTGTGTAACCATTTATATTCTACCTTCGTTAATTAAAGTAAGCATTTAAAACTACATTATTTATTATCCTGCACCATTTCTTTATTGATTAAATTACTTTCTGTACTCGTCCTAATTGTTACATTGATCATAATATTAAATTCATAATTTCGAATAATAGAATTATAAGCAATTTTAAGTGTTTTATCCTATTCTTATAGATTTTAAGTAGGGGATCGAACGGTGGAGCAGTCTTGTAGGCGCTTCCCATCAACGGAAGAAGGAAAGGTGTGAATAGAGCAGTCCTGAAGGCCCCCGCCCCCAATCCGGAAATTAGAGAAAGATCCTGTCTGAGCAGACCTGAAAGCGCTCCGGATGTAATAAATGGGAAAGGATATGAACACAGTAAGAATACTTATTGGACAATAGAGTAATTCAAT